ACATTAGACAGGAAGACCAAATCCAATGAATCCAGGGTTTTAAGAAGAAGTATCTTGGAACAACAATTCACTTCAGCTGGTATTTTGCAATCAAAGCAATGATGGAAGATGAATGCACAATGAAAAATAGTTTCAGCAAATATGAATGTGAAAGTTAATATCAATTTACTTTGGCTATACTTATACCACTTGCACTTCCTGTGATACTGAAATTTACCTTTTGAAATACCTCTATAAAACAGATACAGAAGTGATTTAAAAAATCAGACTGTACATTTTGAGAAGAGAAGTGTGTCTTTTAAAGCTGTAGAAGGATAAATTTCAAAATATTTACAGGATTACTCTTGATGTTTAATTACACCTGTGAAGCCATATGTCTGGTATCATAACAGTTTTTGTGTTCAGTGGGCCAAGTTCTTCAAGGTCCTAGATGGCTCTGGCTCTGATCTATTTAAGCTGACGCTGAACATTTAAGCACACAAGTCAAATCTATTTGCAAGGGTAATAGCTGAGTCTGGAGGCCACAAGATATGACAAAGAATAAGCAGATGGTTCAGAGTAAACAATTTAAAGTAGCTCTTGCAATTTCTTTGGGAACTTAGTACATACCCTGATATAAAGAGGTTACATGAAGCTCATTGAGCTAATAGTGATCAAGTATGTATTGCTTGGAAGGCAGCTAAAGACATGAAAAAGGCAGTCAAATTTACTGAGAGATAAATAACATACAGCTCCATGTCCTCCAAAATGAGATTCAAGTAGTTAAAAGGAGCCAGAAGAGCCTGAGAGAAATGAAATCTGCACATAACGATGAATGACACATTCTGAACTGGAATATGTTTGTTCATCTAATCTATAATGTAGTTGCTCAAAAGAGAATTGTCACTACCAGTAAACCCAAATTGCAAAGCAGCATGCTCCTATATGAAAACCAGGAAAATTCTTTGAGCACAGAGTAACAGAATGGTTGAGGAGGGAAAGGACCTCTGCTCCAAACCCCTGCTCAAGCAGGGCCACCTAGACCTGGTTGCCCAAGACCATGGCCAGTCAGCTTTTGAATATCTCCAAGAAGGAAGACTCTCCACCCTCTCTGGGCAAACTGTGCCAGTGCTCACTCACCCTCACAGTATAAAAGTGTTTCCTGATGTTCAGAGGGAGCCTCTTGTGTTTCAGTTTGTGCCCATTGCCTCTGGTCCTGTCACTGGGCACCACTGAAAAGAGCCTGGCTCCACCTTCTTCACACCCTCCCTTCAGGTATTTATCTACATTGGTAAGATCCCCCAGAGCCTTCTCTTCTCCAGGCTGAACAGTCCCAGCTCTCTTAGCTTTTCTTTGTAGGAGAGGTGTTCCAGACCCTTCATCATCTTCAAGGACACTCTCCAATATGTTCATGTCTCTCTTGTACTGAGGAGCCCAGACCTGGACACAGTACTCCAGGTGTGCCTCACCAGCACTGAGGAGAGGAGATGGATCCACTCACTCGACCTACTGGCAACACTCCTCCTAATGTAGCCCAGAATATCATCAGCCTTCTTTTCTACAAGGGCATGTTGCTGGCTAGTAGTCAACTTGGTGTCCACGAGCACCCCCAGGTCTTTTTCTGCCAAGCTGCTTTCCAGCTGGGTGGCCCCCAGCATGTCCTGGTGCCTGGTGCAGGCTTCTCCAGGTGCAGGACTTTGGACTTCTCCTTGTTGAACTTCATGACGTTCCTGATGTGGTACATGCTTTCATTTCACCCAACATTACATTCATCTAACATGATTACTCATTGCAGCTGGACACATATGCATAGAGTGGTCATACTAAATTATTACCTTTTTGCAGTTGTAATTGTAGCGTTCAGGACCTTTGACTTTTAACTAGGTACACACATTTTATTTTCACATCTCATGATATAAAAGGTAAAACAATAATGTAAGCTGCCTAACTTGGAAGAGAGCAGTAGGCTGTACAGAAAACAGTCCTGTTGCTTTTTTTTTTTTCTTTTCTTTATTTGTGGAAATTCAGATGGAGAGTTTCAAAGACACAAAGTAAATTTAGCTACCCATTGATTTCAAATGGGATTTAGGCACTGAAGAACTGCCATTTTTTTCTTTTAAAAAATCTGTTCCTCAGTTGTTTTATCTTGAACAGACAGAAGGAGAGATAACACTGACAGTAAACAAAATGTCTTAAATAGAATATTTACTTCTTCCTCTTTAGGCTAAATTCTGTCCACAGATAATGTGCATGACCTCAAGTGAACCCAGTAAGTTTTACACGTCTGTATTAGGGGACAAAATTTCTTTCTGGATTCAGAGGACTGTTTTGTTATATGTAAGGTAATGAAGGGTTTGGAAGGCAGAAAAATTAGAAAATTAATGCACTTGTATTTAACTTTACTTGAATCTGGAGTTCATAGTGTCAAAGAATGGAATTCATTCATACATTCATTTACCTGCAGTTAGTAGTAGACTATATAAGCCAGTAGTTAGTGCTCTGGATTATCCTGTCCCTTGTCTACTCAGACTCTGAATTACTAAATAATCTGGTCTTCTTTCACCCTACTCTTTTGTAGCTAATTTATTTTTATTATAAATTGATTAGAATAAAACAACACCCTCTTATCTCAAAAGCTGACTTCCACTGATTTAGACAAAGACTGAAGGATATATATCCTGCATCAAAGTTATAAAATATCTATTTAAAACATTAGTTTTGTTTAATAAGGGTCACTTTTATTCTCAGAACATGCTATTAATGTGAATCAGATCATGTTGATATTTGTTAATAGTGTTTTTCATAGTTTAAATGTTACACAAGCTCTAAATTTTTCAGAATATGTCTCAATAAACACTGTGGCTAGAAATGTTTACAGACCATGTGTAATGGTCTGTTAAAAGCTGTTCAAATGGTAATGTATGATTTATATAGGGAAGTTGAATGGGTAATGACTAAGCTATCTATCAAAAGTTCACAGGCCGACTTTTTTTCAACAAACTACAGACCCATACACGTGCAAGGTTTCCTATCTCATCATTCCATGAACATCTTTATGCAAAACAGTTTATAAGTTAAAAGCAGAGATTTTCTAAGCTACCTATGAGATGTGGAAGTCATACTTTGTATATTTATTAGTTTAAAGATTATTTAAATAATTCAAGGACTAAAGAGTGCGTGTGGCATATGTCTTAATGATGCTAATAACCTATATTTCACAGCTTTTAGTAATCACACCAATGAGCAGTTACCTAATGACAGATGTATGTGAAGTTGCCATTTTAGTGATTCACAGAGCATAGCTAAAAAGCCTTTTTTAAAAGCACAGAATTTAACTCTTACCCATTTTTCCCCTGACATTCATGTCTCAATCCTGAACATAGGACTATATGTGTAGCTGACAACTCTTCAAGCTTATAAGTAATTTTATGGCCCTATACAGCTTTCTATAAGAATCCTCCACAGATTCAGCTTTGTGTGCTCTTTCAGCTTAACTAAAATTGCTGTTAAGTAGGTGCCATCAAATGACATTCTTCAGGCACTGAACAGTATCACATCCCATTTAAATAGGACAAAATATAGTAAACAAAACTGTGTCCTTCTGTAGAGTCAATATACTTGTCCTAGTTTGCAAAGTAGTAAACGATAGCATGATTCCATAAATGCTTAAAGGTATCAAAATAGTCATTGGGAAAATGCATTTTTATGTACACAAAACCAAAACATAAATCCATGCTTTTATAATCATAGAAGTCTGTGATCCTCCAAGGAGAAATATTGTAAGTTCTGGTGTCCTCGTGCTAGGAGTGAGACTGGGGTTTGGAAAAGGGCCTGAGATCTTCCAAACTGACTCAGGTTTAGGCATCAGGTCTCACTAAAAGTTACTACAACTGAAATCTTATCTGATATAGGGTCTTTTGAAATTCTCAACCTTGAATTGAGAAATCAGTCTTTAGCAATAAAACACCAAATATAAAAAATTAATGTATACAATGTACTGTTCACACTTAATTATTGTACTGATATATCTTCTTCTCTCCCACATTCTTCCCATGACCACTGAATAGTCTTCTTCCCCCTCTCTTCTACTGACTCTTTCTCCAACACAACTCATTAAAAACTGTGATTTTTGCTTTTTTCTGCTTCTTCTTTATCTCCCTCATTTTTTTTTCTTGGTGATTTTTCCCAGGTCTGCTGAGCTCTCCTTACTTTTCCCACTGTCTGGCTAGACAGATGTTACTGATCTCACTGAGTGAGTTGTTGTGAAAACAGTTGTTCAGAAGCTGATTTTACCTGCGGTTCCCATTCTCTATGGGACTGAAAGTTCTGATGATCACAACAGGTGAAATGACTTATGAAACAAACCTCGATACTTTAAAGAAAACCACATGTGGCACAAATGTGTTGTAGAGACAACATAAATAAGTCCAGTTTAAACAGAAATCATATGAAGAAGAAAGTTGCCAACTATGATAAGATGAACTATTAACTACTTGGTAAATCAAGGGCTGGCTATGATCTCCATGTCAGCTTCATCGTATCACTGGAGGGACAGGATAAAGGGGAAGTACAGAAGAAACTTTGACCCAATACTGAAAAATGGATGTGGAACGAAGCAGCTGTTTCAGCTGCATTACAGAACAAAAATGCAGAGTACCCATATAAAGTGTATAACCTGACTCTGTTCCTCATTTGTTCTGCTTTCTGCCCCCTCCAGTACACTTCTTGCTCCAATAGGGACCAAGTCATCACAACCCTGGCCTCCTCAAAGCATAGCAGATGAATACTCAAACACAGCTGTCTAAATCCTAATGTAATTACACAGACTGCTGATCATCAGGAAGTGAGGATAGCACTTCCTATCAGAATGTTATAATGATTAAGACTCAGATCCAGGATGCATTTAAGTATGGTTAGCTTCAGATGTGCAAACTATTCTGGAGGTTTCAGATGCAGTCTGTTATATAAATACTTTTTGTGAGATACAGCCAAACAGACAAAAATTTTATAAAACATCTCACCAGATTCTTCAAATTCACTGTTGTATGCATTCCAAGTCTCACTTATGCGGAGCAGATTTTCTTCCATGGCTTGAATGTCCATATAGGGACAGTTGCACTCTGGGAATTTGGGACCACACTGACACCAGCAGTCATTGTCCTTGCAGATGAACTCCCCCTCTGAATTGCAGGCAATATAGCTCAGAGCTGCCTGGACAAAATGTTCTTGTAGATACTCAGGAAGGATGACCTGAAGACCTAAAGGAAATAGAATAAGTATTATGTTATTAAATGCAAAGGAATGCTCGAGTGAAGCAGCTTCCCCAACCTATGTAACAAACAAACAAACAAATTATGAAAAAGGAAACTATATGGCTTTTTTAGGACAATTTACACATCTGTCTAGCATTTGCACTATGTAATATATTTCCTTTCTTAAGAAATAATTTCAGATATATTCCTCATATTTCCCTCTCAGTATGGAACATCCATTCCACTAACTAGCAACCTGTGTTCCTCAGATAGAACATTTACTGGTGTAACTTATTTCTAGGCGGGTTGTCAAAACCAGAAAGAAAGGATTACATCAGCTTCTCCTTGTAAAAAATTGTTGAATGAACAGCCTCAGTAGTAAGAGCTTTGCAGTAGGGAAGCATGCAGCTGAATTAGAATCTTGGTACTAGCAGCTAATGCAAATTTTGAGAGTGCTGATGAAGGGAAAGCAGCCCTGAAAGTCAGAGTAAAGAGACAGTATAATCAGAAGAAGAGGTGTGAAGGTAAACATTCCCATTCTGTATTGAACTTGTTTTCCATGTTGCCTTTGACACAAGAAGATATAGCTTGTCTAAATAACTCTAGTTATCTCTTCATGATCCTGTAGAGGCAAACTAAGAAAAATGGGAGAAATTGGGTTGGAGGAAATCTTAGAAAAATAAAATTTGGCTGATATTTCATCTTTTATAACACTGGTATTTAATTGCTAAGGGACAGTCAATTGGATGTGATGGGTAGGTCTATAAAACCTTGAGAAAGAAAATTCATTCTTAAACCTACTAAAGGTTTAGCATGGAGAAAGGGTGCAAAATCTAGCTCCCACAGTGTTTCAGAAAAGTCCTGATATGTCACAAATCCCTTTGCAAGGTGTTTTCACACTTTACCCTGCCATGGCATGCCATGCAGGGCCTTGCAGAAGCATATCACATTGAGGTATCAGAACCACAGAGCAGGTGAATCAAAAATTCAAAATATTTGTGACCAGATATTTAGACTTACTCATCTGAAATTTTTGACCATTGCTTACATAATCCCAGTGATGGGAATGACTATTTTATATAGAAGCATTTTAATTAACTAGCTATCAGTCACTCTAGCTACATTAGTAATCAACCAAACAAAAAGCCACTACAAGGTACATTATAAGTTTTTATTTATTATTTGTTGTTATTTTCTGTGGCAAAAATAATATCTCTGGAACCAGTGGAGCTTATTTGTGGGCCAAGTAATTTGTCAGCATATGGATTGGTTATTTGTGATGTAGGTTTCTTCTACATAGGCACTTGAACAATTTCATAGAGATTTATCCCTTATTTTTAGGCACATAAAAATGATAGCTGTAACAGTAATTTCATAACCCTTCCCAGTTGAAAGCCATATCACAATTGCTAAAACCAGGCCTGTCTGTGCTTTCTTCTACCTCATGTCAAAATTTTTAAAACTCTGTTGTTACCTGAGTAAACCTTTCAATGTACTTGTATACTTGTGAAAAACCTTGACATTGTGAAAGGAAAAGAAAGCCCAGACAAGCAAACTTGAGTCGTGTTCAATGCTTCCATAATAAGTATGAAATAGTTTATGCAGTTTTGACAATATATTTGTCAAAACGACAATCCGATGGCATGCGTCAAACCGCTGTCTGAGGGATGCAAAAATTATTTTCTGAATTTTAACTGACAAACATCATGCATATGCTGGAAAACATTAAAAATCACAAATTATTTATGGAAACACTTCATTGCATCCCAGTGGAAATGACAAATTCTTTTTTAAAAAATATATACCGTCTCTAAAAAGATTGCACGTTTTTATGGCTTTTAACCTGTTCTGGGGAGAGAGAAAGGAAAGGGAAAAAAAAAGTACATGGTTGTTTTAAACAGGAAGATAATCTTTCCCTGCCAGCCATTATTAATAATCAGCAACAACGTCACAATATATGTCCAAATGATTTATGAACCAATATGGAAAATTTTTAAAACTGGAAATAATTTCATAGCTACCTGTAACTGCAATTTTAAGAACTGTATTCTTCTCTTGTTGTATATACACAGATATATACACGAGTATATCAATTAAAGATAATTTAGTCTGCTTTCATATTGATAAATTGTTCATGCTACATTTGTGTAACTGAAAAAAGCAATTATTAAGGGCCTAATACCCTAACGAGTGACTTTCAAAAAATATTTATGTACCTAAAATGCAGGTTGGGAAATGCATCTACTAGAATTAACAAAAAATGAATTAGAAATTATGCCTTTTTTCTTCCTTTTTTTCCTTTTCCTTTTCCTTTTCCTTTTCCTTTTCCTTTTCCTTTTCCTTTTCCTTTTCCTTTTCCTTTTCCTTTTTATTTTCCTTTTCTTTTTCCTTTCTATTTCTATTTCTCTTTTTTCCTTTTTTAAAAAAATTTATAATTACTATTATTTTTCTAATGAGTGAGATGCCTAACCTTCCAGGTTTTCTTAAAATTCCCAAGAGGAGTCTTTGTACTCTTCATTATTTAGAGTCTTTCAAAATCTTTATCCTGATCCTCCGGTGACTCCATTCATTTCAGTGGGATGACTGCATGAGATGTAAGCTGCTACTCAGTATGTGCAAAGCAGGCTGAGCACGCTAAAGGTCATTGCCTGCTTGGTGGAATCTATGTGAATTCGGGCTGTTTAAAAGGTGTGCAAGCGGCTGCTAAATAGGGCTGTAAAATGTTAACAGCATTATTCAAATTATTTTCTGATGTGTACAGAAATTGTTTCCATTTCAAAGGCAACATGAGTTATTGACATTTCCTTCACTTTGTCTAGAATGTACTTATTGCACACAGAAAAAAAAATTAAGAAAATGACCTTTTATGAGGTGGAAGAAAGAAAAACAAATAGTATGATAAATGTCATCTTGTTCCAAAACAAATTAATGAAATTGCACCTACATACCTTGCAACTGAATCTTATTTTCAGGACTCTGAACCAGAACAGAGCTGACAGAATCTAGGTTGTCATAGTTACTGCAGCCAAGAGGACCAGTCCGAGTTTCTGTTACCTGATGGTAAGGGAATGGAAAAGCATTTGCTGTATTATTAAAAACAGATTAATTCAGAAGCTTGTTTCATTAAATTTCCCTTTAATTCAGCTGGTGGTACATTTCAGACTTAATTAAGGTAAATAGCTGATTTTAATTATGAAAAGTATGACTACGAACGTTTTACCAGTACCACAAACTTCAGGGAGTGCTATTTCTGTTGCAAAGAATCCTCACAAATACTTTAGCTGACTAACAGTCTAAAGATAATTTATTTCTTTGTAGCTATGGGAATTAGAATGAATTTCATAAAAGTGATTCATAGAATTGATGACTGTGATTTTCACTGATGAAACTTGTGTACATGGTGAATCCTTGTTGAAACGATGGAAAAACTTTGACTTTTCTTGTATGGCACAGCCGGACCCAGAAGTAAAAAACTTTTATGAGCTGTATTTATAATAGCAGTAGCAGTGGGGAAAAGGCCTAAGGTAAGATTAGACATAAAACTCTAGACATCCTGCCTATTGTAATCACTGAATCCATGACCACCAAGTCAAAATACAGCTAAATTAATCAAAACAGAATTGCAACAAGTAGAGCTCTGGCCTAACAGTTGAGGATTCTGCTTGGCAACGGGCAGTTAGTTAAACAAGTAAATAAATAAATAAATAAATAAATAAATAAATAAAATACAACAATGGAATACTATAGATAATTCTTAAGTGTCAACAAAATAATTATAAAGGTTAGTTTATCTTTTAAATGTTATCCAAAAAAAAAAAAAAAAAAAAAGGGGGGGGTCTAATGTAGTTTCTTGCCAATGGAACACTGCAGCTTTTGAAGCACTGCTGTGGTGCCCAGAGGACAGATGGGCAGCTCCACAGCAGACTAGGCAGCACCTCAGGTTGGTTTGGGTTTTTTTGTTTGTATAGGGAGTCAAGGGAAAAAAACAAACCCTTAGGATAGACGGGTATACCATGATCTCACTTTTTTTAAACTGGATTGGGTGCTGTAGGAAATTCATGGTTTTGTAGTTCCGTCTTCTTTATATTAAGACTAGGCAGAAAGAAGAAAGCAAAAGTGGAATAAAAGTAATACAGAGACATAGCAGGAAATGCTGGCCATGGGATATTGTCCCAATCTCCTTTACTGCCAAAGTGCAACCAAATCCTCTATCATACCCTCTCCCAAGCTGCTCCCAGCCACTATCCTGGAACTTCTCTTCCTTTTGCCATCTCAGAGGTAGTGTCCATAATTACCCTTATTTGGGGATCTGCCTCAGTTTTGAATACAACCACTTCCATATGGCAGGTATGGTATTCTGCTCTGGATCTCCTGGAGAATAAGCCTAAATTATGGTATCAAGGAGCTAATTTCCAAAATACACACCTCCACTGAGCTGCTGACTGACATGCAAAGAGACAACTAACATTAATTCTTACGAACAGAAGGAAGCTTGCTATCTTAACAATCTGTTTTGAAAGGAATATGAAGGTTTGCTAAAATAATCCATGAATGTTCATGTTGCTTAGGATTGACTGGCTCTCTTGCAGTCTATGCTACCACTGACATGCGTGGGTAGCTGCAGAAGGATCATGCTATTCTTGAAATCACTGAGATTTCACATTTTCCAAGATCTCTTGCACTTTTGCAAAGTAAATACAAAATCTTAGGCTATTCAAAGCTCTTGGCACCTTTCCATCACTTTGAACCTGTGTTCCTGAGAGTGGAGAAGGAGACCCTTTACAGTGCCAGCAACCCGTGGAGAGGACACACAGAAGTGGCTTCAGCCAAACCTGTTAGCAGAGTGCCAGCTGAGCAATGAAATGACACGGAGTCAGGATGTCTCTTCCCTGCACACATTTGGCAGTCTTTAACATTTATGCCAGGGCCAGATTTACTGTGTTTTTTTCTTAATCTTGAATCAGCAGACTCTTGCATGGGCATAAGATTTGGCTTGGACATGGCTGGACAATTTTGATTTACCTGTGATCCTTCAGTTCTCTCCCTCTCCCAACAAGTGATGCAAAATTTCCTTCTAAAATCTCATTTTTGTCTAGTACCCCCAGCCCGTGTACAGAATCCTCATCTATTTATACAATAACAAAGACAGACACCTACATTAAATCGGATAAATAGCCAGAAGGCAATAAAAGAGGGGTGAATGTTCTTATGAGTTGTATCCTAGTTCTGAAAGATTACTCTCAGCATTTATCTATGCAATTCTTTATTTAAAGATCCATTTATTTTAGTGTTGTTTTGTTTTGTATGTTATTATTTTCAACCATTTGTGTATAAGGCAATGCAGCTTCAGAAAGTCAAATAAAATGTAGAAACTATAAAGCCAATTTTACAATTCCTATCCATTCTTGTTATTCTTATGCCTCCTGAAATCACAAAATAAGGAAGGTCAGTAAGTAGGTTTCCGATTATTGTGTCCCTTTTCTGTTCATGCATCTTCATTCTTCATTTGGATTATGTAAGACATAGGTAGAGACTACCACTGTTTTGATTATGGGAGTGATAGCACTTGGTGTATTTAGGTGTGCCAAGAGGCAGAATGGGGAAAAATCACAATTAAATGGCTTTTTTTGACTTCTTTTTTAGAGACTGGTTATATAAATCCAGGGATTCAAAAGAAAACTATATATAGGAAAAAAACTGAGTGAGGTTAGATTTTGAGATGACTTGCAGACACTCATGATTGTAATAGGAAAGCAATAAAATATTGTTCTAATAATAACAATAAGAAAAAATACTCTATATATAGAGTAATAAATAAGGACCTTTTCCAAACATTATGTTTTCACTCAAATCTATGTATTCATATTATTCATTCTTTTACTTTTCCAAGTACCCTAGCCTTACTCTGTCAACTCCTTTGCTATGGTACTCTTAGCTTCTGCATACATTACAAGAAGAAAATCAAAATGTATAGTCCCAATATACAACAAAGACAGACTAAAGCAGGTAAAAAACCTTTAACTTTCCATGAATGACACTCCTAGTCAGAGGTCAAAGCAATGTAATTACATATACTTTTCTATACTCTGTACAAATCCTGCGCAACAAAGATTGTAAATCAGAAGAAAAATTTGAGTAGTTGATAAATGAAAGCCTCAAATTTCTGTCAAATTTTCTGATCAAATGCAAGGATTTAATTTTTGGGTAACTCATTTTGGTAACAAGGCAGACTACAGAGGGGAAAAAAAAAGATCCAAATGTATTGATTCTCGTTTGATCCAAGTGTTACTGAAATCACTGATGTTTTTACATTTTCTGTTTCAGGAACAACAGAAACAAAATTGGAAAGGCAATGGCACTTCTTTAATTATCTTCCAAGCAGAGAAGTGCGACTATATTCAGTCCCAAGTTCACAGCTGAAAAGTGTTTTGTCTGAAAGTGTACAATAAAAGATAAACCAAAAACAGGAGAGGGAAAGGTAAAATGTAAATGCAAAGAGTATGCTAAGATGTTAGCATAGTCCAGAAGTGATTGCATATGAGCAAAGAGCATCATAACCACATACTTGTTTTGTAAGAGCTAGGCCTGCAGTCTGTAAAGAACACTAACTCACAAAGCAAAATACCACAGAACAAAGTTATTTAATAACTAAAACCCTCTAAGAACCAGTAACAAAATATGTGTGAAACCATCTGACATGAACCAAGCAGGCTATTCTCAAGTGCCTTGTTTTCAAAGATTATCACAGAACAGGTTTCCCTGGGCAGCAGGGTTTTCAGTTCCCAGAAATAAACTATAACATTTGGCATTAATGAGACAAATGCCTACAGTTTTCAGTCTGTTAAATCTCATAACCATGGTAATAACGACCCGATTATAAGTGCACTGAGAACATACCTCCTAGCACTTAAGCAAGGCTGAATTCTTGTGATATCAGTGGGTAGTATTTCCCTGGGAAACAGTGTGCTTTTTTTTGTCCATGATAATTAAGCCTATAGAAGGCTTTCCTAATAAAAGGGAAATATATTTCCGCAGAGATTTTTTTCCTGGTGCATCCTTTTAAATGTGCATAGCTAATATTCCTAACTACATGCCCATGCAGAGGTAGTGTGCTATCTTGAATAAAGGACTATCCTTTTCAGCAAGACTCTTTAAAAATGTATATTTGGCTTCTAAGCCAACACAAAGGAGAACTGGCCAGAGATGTCAAAAATAACATGAAAAGGTTCTTCCGGTATGTAAGTTGCAAGCAGAAACTGAAGGAAAACATAGGCCCACTGTTAAACAGTAGAGGTGAATCAGTCACCAACAATGCTGAAAAGGCAGAGGTTCTCAATACTTTCTTCACCTCTGTCTTTACCCACACTGTTGGATCCCAGGCGTTGGGAACAAAAATCCAGGAGGATCCAAACATAGACCCACCATCAGTGAAGAAGGAGCTAGTATGTGAATTATTACAGGAGCTTGACCCCTACAAATCGATGGGCCCTGACACCATCCACCCAAGGGTGTTGAGAGAGCTGGCTGGTGTCATTGCGGGGCCACTCTCCATAATCTTTGAGAAGTCATGGAGATCGGGGGATGTCCCAGAGGACTGGAGGAAGGCAAATGTT